GCAAAGTTACTGTATTTTTTTAAGTGAACTTATTAATTTTCACAAATAAATCTTTCATCTCAAAGCAAAAGAAACTTGTGTGATCCACCATCAATAGTTTAAATAATTATTGCATATAATTTAGTTTTTGGACCAAGATGAGTAGATTCATCTGGTAGGTGTTGGATATGAGTTTACGAGGAGATTGAAACTGAGAGGAATCTATAATTCATATAATTGGTTCATGAACGGAAAGTCAACTTTCATTATCTTGAAGTTTAGAATAGTACCAGTGTTTAACGAAATTTAAGTAGGCAAGTATTCATATCAATGCATCATTTGATTTCAAATGATGGTATTTTTTGTAGTAAATTTCTTTAAAGTTTTGGTGAGGAGCTTTTCATAATTTAGATATTCCATTACCTTTTCATTTGGCTTTAATTTCATATGCTTTCTGTTCATATTGATAATTGATTTGTAGTTTTAGTAAGCAGTTAGATTTATACACTTCAAAATATGACCAAGCTTTAAAAATTTAGTTTTTTTATATGAATTTCTTTATTAACGCATTCATCAAAATATTGATGGAATTCCTACTTTCTGTCTAGTCCTTTTATTACTCTGCACATCTGGTTTTTTTTTTTTTTAATTTGTAATTCTTTAAAATGTATCATCGTGAGCTAGATCAACTTATATAATTGATTTATTATCAATTATATATAAATCGTAATGATTTATACACTTCAAAATATGACCAAGCTTTAAAATTTAGATTTTTTATATGAATTTCTTTATTAACGCATTCATCAAAATATTGATGGAATTCTTACTTTCTCTCTAGTCCTTTTATTACTCTGCACATCTGTTTTTTTTTTTAATTCGTAATTCTTTAAAATGTTTCATCGTGAGCTAGATCAACTTATATAATTGATTTATTATCTTTAGTAGACTATTGTTTTTCACTTATATATTTAAGATTTACTTTATCATTTTCTCTATTAGACTCATCTATCACACTGTGTACGTGAGTCTGCTGAATGTACTCTAGAAACTCATTAGTCATTAGACAAACTATTTAATATAAATTCAATTGTAGGTTCACTTTCAACTTCAACAAGTTTAGTTTCCAATGGAAGAGTAGATTCATAGTTGGTCTTTTGCTGGAAGCTGATTCCTAATTTTAGCTAAAATTTAAACTCTTATCTAGGAATAAGTTCAGGTTCATATTTGTGTTCTAATAAAAGTCTAGATTTTGACAATACAACATTAAAAGAGTATGTTCACTTTTAACTTCAAGTTTGACTTTTAATAGATGTGTAGATTCAAAACTGATTTTATGATAGAATTTGATTCAAAATTTTGCCTGAAATTTCACTTTCAACTCCGAATTTAGTTTCTAATGGATGTGAAGTTGATTCCATTCCAGGGTACGATTCCCTATTTTTGGCTCACTTTTCATCTCTATGTACGAATAAGTTCAGGCTCATGTTAATGTTCTAATGTAAGTGTAGATTTTGGACTCCACAATATCAAGTAAATTCAGTTGTAATAAGAAATATTCATTCTAATTTATCTTTAAAAGGTAATTATGAACTACAATTTCTTCAGTAAGATGGGTTTTCACTACACATGAATTTAGCATTGGTTTATGCTTGATAGATTTCAGAGAAGATAAAGATTTATCTTTGTAGATGTTAAGTATGGCTTTGATTTCAATTTTAAATATGATGGTTAAGGGTCTTAAAATGTTGATGAAACTTAAATTGAAAAAAAAAAGAAATCGTTGATTAAAAAAAATCATAATATTACTTTTAATACATCAACAACAACAAGCCCTAGCCCACTAAATGAATCCTTTGTGTCCTATTGAGTGTCATATTTTCATTTAATTCTAATAGATTAAGATATTTTTTATACAATATGCCCAAGTCTTTTTAAGTTTACCTCTGCTTTTCTTATTATAAGTGGAGTCTAAAATATCTACTCTCCTAACCAGATCATTATTTGGTCGACGTTTAATGTGACCAAACCATCTAAGAAGACTCTCTAATCTTGTTTGCCATTGTAGCTACACCAGCCCTATCACAAATATATTCATTTCGTCTCTAAATGTCAAGCCATTCTTCCACCTAAGCATTCTCATCTCAACAACACTTAACTTTGTTTTATGCTTGTTTTTTAAAGGCCAACATTCTGCACCATAGGGCATTGTAGGTCTCACCACCATCTTATAAAATTTTCCTTTTAGTCTAAGAGGTACTTTTCTATCACACAATAAGCCTGATGCATTCCTCCACTTAAAACAACCAACTTGAATTCTACTAATAACATCCTCATCTATATCACCATCACTTTGAACAATAGACTTGAGATATCTAAAACATTCTAAACTTTTAATGATTTCATCACCCATAGCAACAACTTTGAATATAGTGTTGTATGCGTGGTGGGGGTGAGGTCCGCCATGAGGAATCACCCGTTAGCATAAAATTGCTTCTCATACCCCCCCCCTAGCGGGTCAATGTAGTCATCCGATTGACAGAGAGGCTTAGCTTGTCGAACACCTGCTTGAATGGTACATTTGCTGAGCTTTCTATATCGATGAAAACGCTACCTACTTGATAATCATTGATTATAGTTGTTATCACAATAACATCATTATAAAGATTTTTCTTCGGAAGTAAATGAGCGGGTAGCTCTTGGGTGAAGGTTGCAACACAGAGTTTCCCTATTTATTGCCTCTTCCGGTTTATCATTCTGGTTAGTTTGCTTCCTCCAAATATTGTGGGAACGTATGATACGATGTGGATGGCATTTGTGCGGATAGGTTCGTCGGCCAACGGCCCCCCCCCCCCCCCTCCAGGGGTGACAAATTCTTTTAGCTTCCCTTCTTTTATCAGCTCTTCAATCAGGTTCCGTAGGTGTGTGCATTTCTCCATGTCGTGCCCGAGGTCCCTGTGATACTTGCAGTATTTCCAGCTATCTCGGAGAAAGGCTCTGGTTCTTATCGGTGGTGCTTTCTTGAAAAATTACTTGTCCTAAATGACATCCACTATTTCTGCCATAGACACCCTTAGTTGGGTTTTTCGGGGGAACCCGTGGTTGTATTGGGATTGCTCATGATAATGGGATGATTGGTAATGCTGGGCCTTAATTTGTCTACCCTAACCCTCGTGACAGTGGGTAGAGTTGTTGCTAGGGTGGCTCTCGTAGTGTGTGCGGATGGTCGGTCATATACTTTCTCTGCGTTGCCTTTCGCTGTCTTGCGACGACCCCTTCTAGCGTCTGTTTGGTGGGCTCTGGGGCAATTTCATTGGTAGAGATTTTTATTGGTCATGCGCAGCCTGGGCCATCTCGGGTTTTAGATCTTTCACATCCAACTTTTCCCTTTGGAAGCGTGCAATAAAAGATTGTATACTCTTTTTAGTTCTTAATGCACCGACAAACTGCGATAGAAAAAGCCTCCTAAATTCCACAAAGCAGGTAATCATCCCCGCGAGTAACCCGTTGAACCATCCTAGTGTAAATGACCTCAGTGTTGTGAAGTACAATTTGCATTTGAGAGCATCATAGATTTTTAGCAGACATATGGAAAATTCAAACGACGCAAGGTGGCCTTGGGGATCCGACTGTCCTTTTTATGACTCTAGGATGGGCATCTTAAAATTCTCTGGGAGTTAAGCTCCCAAGACTTGTAGTGTGAAAGCATTCTCCAGCTGCCACAGGTCCTTGGTCCGCACTATTCGATTCCTCTCAACAGGAGTCGATCTGACGCTTTCTTGGTATAACACTTCGTTGGGCTTCTCTTGCAAGTGGATTGTTCTTCTTCCGTTTTTTGCCGACGATTTCTCTTTGGGGGGAGGGGGCCTTGCTGGGTCGGCCTTCCTCCTGGAAATTGGACCGCCTCTATGGCAGTTACTGCTTTGAGTACCTCTCTCCGCGAATTGTTTTGATATATGGTTGTGATTTGAGCCTGCAGTTCTTGCAAGCCTTGCTGAACGAATTCCTCTATGAACTCCCTAATGCACGTTGCTTCTGTATTGTTCTTTTGATTGGATTCTTCTTGCTATTGTTGTTGAGCTCCTCTTCTTGTTGATGACATGTTTCCACGCTCACCGCACCTTAAAGAATGTCGATTCCAAAAGTATTAGGGAAACACACCCAAAGTATTGAACGTCACACTAGAAAGAGAGTATAATAGAGAATAGTAGAGAATGCATAAATTTTCTTTATGATATGGAACTCCTATTTATAGGAATATGTATCAATCTTACAAGATTACAAATCAATCCTCTCATCATTAGCCTTATAAGAGGTCTTTTAGCAATTACAAAGATATCTGAATATAAGAGGACTGACTGATTGATTTGGTCGGCAAGAAGAGAGCCGATTGTGGTTTTGCAAGGAAATCCCCTGATACGTTCTTTCGGTCATTCGATCCAATGTTCTGTTTGCTAGCATCCAATCCATCGGTGCCATCGACCGTTTATACAATCAGTCGTCTCTTTCTCCTGAACCGTTTGTTTACTTTGAGATTTGTGCTGATTTATTTTTTCGTATACAATTATATTGACTTGTAATAGAATGACTGGATGATCAGATATGTAAAAAGAAAAAGTCAATACACATTGATGCCTTATTTAGTAAAGAGAAATTTGTCTGCTAATAGACTAAAATTCTTTCCCAATCATTAGAGCTATATGTTGTAACTATGTTAGATACCACTCGATCCATTTCCAGATCACTGAAATTCAGCTTTGACGATATTTTATGTTGAAAACCCGTTTATAGACTCTTAATTTTTACATTTGATGTTCTGTGAACTAATTCAAATACTGCATATTGTTTTATAGTAATTGGTCATTTGGTCTTTTTTTTTTTAATTAACTCGTATCTAGTTGTTTGTTCATTCGCTGGAATCATCTTTTACTGCTTCAGCTTCAGATAGAGTATTCTTATTTGACCCATATAAGAATCCGATACAAATGAGCTTGTGCTTGTTTTGTTCATAATTGAAACAGGTCCGCTTCCTTACCAAAATATATCATCCCAACATTGACAAGGCAAGTACACTTTTATTTATTGTTATGTTTCCAGTTTCATGAGTTTCTTTTCTCAATTAGCTATTTTTTTTTTCTTAAGATTTCTACCTATGCAGCTTGGACGAATATGCCTAGATATATTGAAAGATAAGTGGAGTCCAGCTCTGCAGATTCGAACAGTACTGTTGAGGTGACGGGCCTTCACTCTTTTTGGTTCCAAACCATAGATTTTTTGGCTTATTTACATACACACCATTTAATTCGTACGTGTTTACATACCTAACGCCTAAACTTCAATTGTTACATATATGCCACCCTACCTATGTATGAAAAGTTGTATTTCACTTTTGTAAGTTAAAATGATGGTGTTTTTGATGTGATATGAAAATTTTTGGGGGTATAAATGTAAAATGTAAAATGTAAAATTTAGGTGTTAGATATGTAAATATATAAGAATTGTGTGGTATGTATGTAAATGCTCCTAATTTTTATTCTCTTATTCAATTTAAGCCTAACTTATTGAAACAACTTAATGAAACATTACTTGAGGTTCAAAAATAGTCCTTACTGGGGACACTATATGCTCATTATGAATGTATCAATCCTAAAAGATGATGAGAGGTATTGCCGACTTGCTGTCTATGCGTATTGCTAACTTGCAATAAGTGCAAATGAAGTATAAGAAAATAAAGCTCTATTTAGTTATAAGTCAACCCTTAAAAAAAAATACTAGGTTTAACTTTGGCCCTAAATCATATTTGAAGATATTACATTAAATTGATGTTTTTACTATTCCTTAGATTTTGAACACTACCTTTGTCTTAGTTGGACAGTTCCGATTATGTTTTCTTTTATGCTTTGTTGTTAGTATTATTATCTAGTGGTTTGCTTGCCTTTTTAAATATTAAATTTGCCATCATGATTAGTGTCACCAATTATTCCAGTTCATATATGTTTCTTTGCCGATTAGTGGTTGTAAAATCCATTATTTTCAATGTTCTTTTATTTATTACATTTAACCACTTTTTTTGGTGTTCATTAATTAGTATCCAAGCGCTTCTAAGTGCTCCAAACCCAGATGATCCACTTTCAGATAACATTGCAAAACACTGGAAGACAAATGAAGCAGAAGCTGTTGAGACAGGTTAGCCATTTCTTATAGAATATTAATTTAGTTAGCCATTTTTTATAGAAGATATACTTATTTGCATTGATCTATACAACGAGTGAGTGGGTTACTTCCAATTTTTATAAGAGCTCATTTGGTTGCTTTAGGTTTGATGGAAGGGCTTTCTGTTGATGCAAGCTTTTTATGAAGTATAAGCTTATTTTTACAGTTATAAATATTGATGAAAACTATGATGATCCTTCATTTTATTAAATATGATTCGGAAAAATTATTGATTAAAAATTCTACAAAACCTTTTGAAATTTACTCAAATATAATGATAACATTTTGAACATTTTGACGTATACAATAAAAAAAATAAAAAAAGCATCATTTTTAAGAATGGTAATGCTAAATTAAAAAAAAAAAAAAAACTTACTTAGTTTTATTGGTGTATAGTTTTATTGGTGTATAAATCAAATTTGGGCAAATGCTGTTCTTTTTTTTTGCTTGAGAAGAGTTTTATTGTTCCACTGAGGGTTTGTTTCAACAACTTTCTAACTGCTTTGCGTTTCAAATCATCACCACAACTACGTTTGGGGAACTATTTGCTTGCTGCTTTCTAGAAATTTGTGGTGGGAAGCAACTTTTTTTCAACTTGACCTTTTAAAGTACGTGACTGTAATAAAGTTGTTGTCTTATGTTTGAGAAAAAAATATATATTCGTAACTCTCATCGTAGCTTTCTAATAAGTTGTTTTCTCCGCCACAGTTTTCACAATCACTTTTTCAAAAAGCCATAGCCACCTCAAACTGACCATAACAATCTATTTGTGGAGAAATTATTCCATACGGAGTACGTACGCAGCTCTACTTGCGGAATCCAGTAATATACCTCCACGTGGAGGTTATTGTGGGGTTATTGACGTGAAATCGCAGAGGTTGTTAGGGGGTAATTGCGGGGGGTAATACATGGGGTTATTGCGTCAAATTTGGGTTTCGTTCGGGTTAAGGTCTTAATTTTTTACACGTTTATTATTCGGGTTGGGTTCAAATTGACCCTATTAGGTCGGGTAATTTTCATGCCAGACCCGCACCTGATCCGCGGATCTAAACTGACACCCCTATTACAAATTTATTTAATTTTTGCATAATCAGGCTGCAATTTTCTGACAGTCACCACATTTTAACATCTTAGGTTAAAAAAATTAGTTTTCTACCACAAAAATTTCAAAAAATCACAAGAAATCAGTTCTCTGAACAATACTGTGGTGGCGGTATAAAAAACAAAGTAGACAGAAAACTGTCACAAACTGACTGTTAGTCAATGCTTATGTTATGTGTTTTTCTTTTTCTTTTCTTTTTTTATTATATCTATTTCTTTTTTAAAGAAATATTTTGAATTTATGATTATATTTCTCTAAACATGGTGGGATTAAAATCATTGGATTTTTTTCTGCCCTTGGATAAAAATCCATTTTAACCAGGGAATTCATGTTTTATTTTTATCTTAAAATTTGTGTTATATTGAGCATAAGTTTATCATTCAGTCATAGCGGCTTTTCAACATAAATCTTAATGCACAATTGATGATGATATGCCATTGCTTTTGACTCATTTGTTTGCAAGTTAGATGATATATTTAAAAAAATAGCGTAACATTAAATCATCGCACCAATAATCATTTCAAACTCCATAAACATTCCAAAAACATTGACCAAAATTGATTTCATTTTCTCATTCAAAGTAAATGAAATTGAAATTATTGTTTTCGAGGGCATAATTTCCAGCAAGGGCTCATATGTTTGCTTGTAAGTTAGAAATCATGTTTTAAAAGAATGATGGAATTTGTTAAATCAGTTATTTGGTTTGATATAATTTGAAACCATGTGGTTTGGAAAGTTGGAAAGTTTGTGCATGGCTTGATGTTACTGTATACCTTGTTACGTATGCTCATGTGCATATAGAAGCTTATGTTAAGACATGATTCATATAGTTTCATAATAAGATGATATTATTTGCAAAGCCATGCATATATTTTTCAATCGTTGACTTCCATTTTCAATTGGATATTATATGTATAGGTAGAAAGATATGTCTTGATATAATAAGAGGCAGTGAAATAACTAAACGCACTGATAGTTTGGTAGATTAAATACTTTGTTCTCTAGTTTCCTTAAAAGTCCCCGTTAAATGAAAATTTAGGTGCTAGATATGTAATTACATATGAATTGTGTGGTATGAATGCAAATATTCCAAATTTTAATTGCAAATTCAAGATAGAACGTTATAAGCAATCAAGTGAGCTCATATAAGAATTTGTATGAATGAATTCCTTTAAAAGGTTTTCTGTACCTGCAAGTATGAAAGCAGCTGTGTTTTAAGCTTTTTTTTTCCTTAAAGGGCATTTAGCTACAGACTACTCAATTCTTATGTTTTTACATATTTAGGACACTAAAATTTACTTTTTATATTTTTACCACCCAAATATTTCATATCATACAAAAAAAAAAAAAAACACTATTCACTTTAAAAAAAAAAAAGGTGACACTTTTTCACCCATAGATAAGATAGCATATAAATGTAAAAATTAAAGTTAGATATGTAAATAACAGGGAATCGAGTAATATGCATTTAAATCTTCCAAAAAAAAAAAAAAGTTTTATCCTAATTATGTTGGGTTAATGGGCAGCCAAGGAGTGGACTCGCCTGTATGCCAGCGGAGCTTGAACGGCCTTAATATAATGTGAAAATCTGCCATTATTGATTTTCTATATCATATCTTCAAAACGGTGTTCATGAACTGTCAGAGTCTCTTAGCTTCTTCTCCTTCCAGCTTGAGGTGGCCTTAATTGCTCTCAAATTTGAAAGCAAATGACTTGAATATGGTTTTATCTCTAGCTATTATATCTGCTTGCTGTATCATTTATGCGGGGCCCCTGGTTGTGAATGATTTTCGGTTGTTTTTTTTTTAATAATTAAGATATTATAACCTCAACCAGTCTTAAATTATGCACAAGTGTGTTTTATATTGCAAACTCCACGAGTATCAGTTATTTGTTCATCTTTATGAGAGTGACAAGGGATAGAGCTATTATTATTTATTTGCAAATAAATTATATGAAAAAATATAATAATTTTTTAGCCAGGATTTTAGGCAAATATGTTTTGTTTATTGATAATTTTTTACTTTTATTATAATCTATTAAGGAAAAAAATAAATTTCAGAGCGGGCAATCGCAATCTTGGGCTGTTCCAACCTGAGAGTAAGAATTTTGATATTTACATGACAATAACAGTGCATTTGTTGATGTTCAAGATTTTCTTTTGGGATATTTACATTCATAGTATGCAATTCTTATACATTTACATGTCTCACACCTATACAATAATTTTTACAGATATACTATTTTGGTGTTTTAGATTTATGCATGAAAAATTTATATTTCACTTATAAGTAGTGGTAACATTGTTCTTTTGATGTGGTATTTAAGATTTGGGTGTTATGTGTGAATATGAAATGTTAGGTGAGATATTTAAATACATTAGAATTGTGATTTATGCGTGCAAATGCCCTCTTTTCTTAATTCTCATTTAATTTTGTTCCTGCTATGTGGAGTTCTTGGTAGTTTCAAAAAGGTGCATGAAAATTGCTACTACATTGGTTTTCTTAATTTTGTATCATTTTAGCTATTTGTTTTTCTTTTTTGCCTTAAATTTTTTTATAATTTATGCTAAAAGTTAAGCCAGTGATTTTTTTTAATATGATATAAAAGATTCTCGAGTGGTATAAGTATAAAAATCAAAATTTATGTGGTAGATCTGTAAATTATGTAAGAATTGAGTGCTATCTCTGTTAATGTCCCTATTATTAAATGCAGTATTTGCACTGCATTAGATTAATCACATTTTTTTCGAGTGGGCAATCCTCTGGATCTGTTAATGTCTCTAAACTATGACACTAATGATAACTATGTCATCTCTTGACAATATATATATATATATCACATTGTTTTTTCTAATAATAAATAAAATAATAAATAAACGAGTTCAGATGAACTGATAACTGACGCCCTAAATTTGCTTATATTTTTAGGCAACATAACATTGGTGATCATATAATAATTTTATCGAAAGGTACACGCTTAAAAGGTATTTTCATGACAAAAACTACCAAGTACGAAACTTTTAGTAGTTATTTACGGCGGCGTTTTCATGCATGTCACCAAATTCCTATGTATTTACACGTATAACGCCTAAATTATATATTTTACATTTATATCCTCTAAATCTTTTATATATCAAATTTTCATGCATACATAAGGTAAAATATACATATAGATCTATATTTATATTATTTGAATGGCATGTATATAAATATTCCTTATTTGTGACAACATAAAAAAAAAACATTAAAATTAAAATTAAATTTTCTGTTAAATTATATACTAGGAAATGTGGTATGGAAGTCCTGCTTATCAAATGTATTAATTGACAAAGGAAAAATAATATACTGGCATATAAAAAAGCCCAAAATACAAATACTAAAATATTAGCTAATAATCAGCCCAACAATTAGCCAGAAAAGATTTACAAAACTTACAACTAATTCTGGCACCTCCATACTTTGGTTTCACACCAAACAACTAATATTATATATAAAATTAATGGCGCTTGGAACCCAATTTTTTAAAAATGCAAACGATCTCCCCTATCAACTTGATCAAAATCACCAAAAGAAATCAGTTTTGGTTCAAAAAAACATGAACTCATTGCAACTCCATCTAATTTCTAACCAAAAACCTTGGTTTTTGTGACTCTACAAAAGCCTACAGAAGTCTCAGCTCAATGCAGAAAAAACAATAAAAACTGGAAGATGATCATGTTCGGATAAAAAGTTTTAAGCAGATGCCATATATTTCATCAGCTCTCCATGAAAATTATACCCCCCCCCTGTTGAACACTTAGATCGATCCAGCCTTTACAGTGACTTACATCAATGCGACGACGCTGCGCGAGGTATGCGAGGCCTCACCGGAGTCTTCGATGGACTAACCCTGACAAAAACCAGCGGAGCTATACCGTTAAGTTATATGAATGGTCACTCACATACATACATTTAATATATAGGTTTAAAGCACCAAAATATTATATATGTAAATATGAAAGTGTAGTGTGGGATATGCAAATACATAAAGAATTATGTGCTAGCTATGTAAATTTAAATTTTCCTTAGATTAACTGGAGCATTGATGATTGGAGTTAATATACACCTGATTGGAAGAGAACCAAGAGGCATGCCACTACAGTTCAGAGCTAGAATGGCACACTCAGCCTGAAATGAACAAGGAACAATAAAATCAAAATTTGAAGAGTTAATTCGCAACAACAAGAAATGCATCGAAATCATGTAGTTTTAGTAGAAATGATGATACCGTATATACAACTCATAACACATTCAATCATTCACATCATCGAAATAACAGTTTGATGAATCCTCCATTCATTCTTGCTGAAATTAAACCGAAAAATCAAACTGAACTAAGCATATTTGGTTGATTTGATTCAGTTGATGAAATCACGGTTCAATTTTTTGTTCAAATTTTCGGTTTTCGGTTCAGTTTGGAAAGAATAAAGTTTCAGTTAAACCCAAAAACCAAATTATATTACGGTTAAAGTAACTTAATCAATCAATTAGTTTAACAAATCCGTTAACCAAATTACTCTGAATTCATTTCTTCCACTCTATATGATTACCGGCTTTCATCTTTATAAGCCTAATAGTCAGATTTATATAACATAATTAGTCTAATTGTAACTTTTTAAATAATGTGGTGCACTAACTATGTTTTATTTGCACTACATAAGATGTTGGTTTAGTCACAGGCCACATTAAAACAGACACAATAAGGTGCCTTTAGTAAAGTAATACTCGGGTGAAGTATTTGATTGGAAGAAAAACAAATACATTCGTCTGACACGAACGAATTTCAAATACACTAATTGAGTGAAGCATCACCGACCATCACTACCAGCGTTGCGACTTCCCACCACTGCTCATTGCCAGCCGCCACTCCACTACAGCCGAGGGCGGTAATTGAGCCCCAATTGCCGGCCCACAGCCGCCACCGCCTCCCTCCACTGGATGGCCATACCATTGCCGGCATCACCGGTGCCAAATTTTAGACTCAACAAATGCAGAAGATTACCACCTCATCAAAATTATTTTGCAGTATTCCTTCATATTTTTTGTTCCTAAATAACATTGGGATTGAGGTAGTATAACAACATGAAATAAGATGTATGAGAATTTACCCGAACGAACTCAACAAAGGCTATCCTAGTTGAATGCACATTATCCCCAAGTAGTCTTAGACGAGAAACCTGCTTGAGATAAACACACTTTTAAAAAAAAAAAAAAAAACAAAAAATCATGTAGAGAAAAAAAGAAAAGGAAGATTATGTATTTACATATCTAACACCTATACTTCAATTCTTACATACATGCCACCTTATCGATGCATGAAAATTTTGGGTGGTATAAATCTAAAAGGTAAAGTTTGAGTGTTAGATATGTATATATACATAAGAATTGGTAAATGCTCCAAAAAAATAAAAAAATAAAAAAAAAATGCTGGGTACTTGACCTCTCCACAGCAGACATGTTCAAAAAAACGCTTCACTTCTGACTGTGTAACCTGCAGGAGAAAATGCATGCCGGTAATATAAGCCACAAAGATCACCAGAACTACATATTGAATGATAGGGGACAATTACATAAATGGAATCCAAAACATTTGTATTTATAAATCTAGCAGCCACTTTCATCCATTTTTTAAATTCTCACTCAAATATCAAAATTAATGATAAAAAGCCAACCCCTATTTTTCATTTTTATCAAGTTCTCGATGGTTTGATCATGACACACGTAAATACATTTATTCGGTAGGTCAAAATTATCACCTGGGTGCTAGATTTTGTAAATAACAATGTTTTGGATCCTATATATATATGTAATTATCCCTAAATGATAATTATAACTAAATCATTTGCATGAAATTTGAATATGCATTGTAATTGGTCAGATCAGAACAAGGGGCTACATGGTAATAGATTTAGCAGCTTTAGTAAATCCTACAAATCTGAATCTACTGAGTGCTGCCAACAACATGATTTAGTGAATCCGAGATTTAAGGAAAAACTGAGAAGAAAATGGATTTACTAAATTATGAAATTAAAATTGTCATTTTTTCAGTCTGGCAAGATTTAAATTAAATCCTACTTAATTCTGTTACCATTAAGCCACCTAGGAGTGATAAAAGGATCCAAAATATTCTTTGGACGTTTTTGAAGAGGTCATTTTAATCCCATACTATCTAATGTGTCAAATTGAGGCGTTGTTTGGGATTTATCAAATCCGATAAATCCTATGACGGAGATGGAGCTCGGTGACAGCAGAATAAATCATTTAAATCCGACTCGCAATTAGATTTATTAAATCCGAATTTACATCGTAATGGAAACAGAATGAGAGAAAATAAAGAAACACAAAAAAAAAATGAATTTAACAGAGCGTTGGATTTATTTTTCATTTTCTTGATGTTTGGTTAGATTTAAATTAAATCCATGGCTAAATCATGTTAATAGTATGCTACCAAACACCGCCTTAATATCTTGGTTACCCAAAGCTTATGCAAAATATTGTAAAAAGGGACTATTTTTGGCTTGTATTTGAGAAATAAAGAAACTAAATTAAATATATTTATAGTCTGGGACTAAACTAACCTCATACAAATAATATAGAGGCCATATTAACCTTTTTCTCAAATATGAATTCTACGCAAACACTCGCTAAATTCAATAGCATTAATAGGCAGCAGTCATCTTCAAGAACAGAAAAAAAAACTCACCTTTTTATCTATGTTTGTACAATATACAGTCCTCACAACCATTTCCCTTTCATCGTTGGACTGTAGTAATTTCAACATTTAGTGGGTTAATATGAAAAATACACACAATAAATGAAAAAAAGAAAATGTACTTCAATCTTGCAAAGGGACAGAAAAACAAAGAAACAGTTTAAAAACGCGCACCCTAGGAAGAAATTTTGGATTCACAGGCAAAATTGCAGTCTTTGACGGTAGAACTTTGACAGGATAGTAGCCTAGCATTGTTCCACCAATATTCAGAGCTGCTCTAGCACCCTCTGCCATCACAAAGGTGTTAACATTTTGGGAAATTTACATGCATATCATACAATTCCTTTGTATTTCCATATCTAACACCTAAAAAACATGATATTTAGATTTATAATAGTGCGGTGACACGAACCTATAGATGAAAGAGTATATTTCACTTTTAAAAACTTCGTAGAGTGATATCTTTTATGTGATATTAAAGATTAGTGTTATGTACGCAAATATGAAAATTTAGATATTAGATATGTAAATACATAAGAATTATATGCATGTAGATGCCCCTAACGTGTTTTGTTAAAATTGGTATCAGAAACTATTAAGTGCAAAACTAGCAGTCTATGAGCTATTAGAGATGAGTTTACCCTCATCAGCAAACTCCACAAATGCGAAGCGGAGAATCGAATGGGGGTCACCACAGATCCGACAGTCAACTACCTTCAGAATGACAAATTCAGAACAATAAGAGCATTGAAAATTGTGTAGAATACAGACCAATCATTTTTGAAAGAAAATAAATACTAAAAAAAAAAAAGATTCAATTGTTATAACTCAATTCTTATCAACACAATCAAAAATTCAAAATAAGTTTTTAGGATCATTTCATCAAAACAATTAAGCCATGTTTTTACAATTACTACATTTAAGGTTAATAATATTATATTTAATTGAGACAATAACGAAAATCATTTGCATTTGGGTTTACAATTTTTATCAAGACATGTTCTAAGTATCATCAAATTTGATATTACTTCAACGAGTTTAATAGTAAGAACTTACACATAGATTGGATGATAAAATTGATAAAATACAGGATTAACATGATAATGAGCTTGATGAAGAAATCAATTATTCTAAGAATATTTTAGTAGATAATTCTTTGAATGTCATATTTAGCATCATTGGCACTCCTGAGGTTGGGCTTGATTGGGACAGAACTACAATTTTTGAAGAGAAACTTTGCAATGATATGATAAATAATGTCTACAATGAGTCTTGCCTAAATATGCCCTAAGCATACCCTAAACATAAATCATACATCCACATCTTTATAAAATAACATTGGTAGATAAAACAGCTGTTTTTTCATCTCTGAGATATTTATTTCTATTCATTTAGCTACATACATTGATAAAATATGGTGAGGTGTAATGCCATAGACATTATTCAGGTTAGTTAGGGTCAGCTTTGACTTTATGATTTAGATGCTACTCATTTTGAGAGATCTAATACATAAGTTTTTAAGATTAATAGAAGAATGTTAGTATTGAAACTTATAAATCCTAAGAATAAGTCCGCCAACCAAAAAAAATCTAGTGTTCCCAATGAAGTAAGAGTTCTTTGTATATTTTGAGTGAGCATGCATTCAAGAATGAGATAGGAGAATGCGATCCATGCTTTAATAGATATTAAATTTAACGATGTGCATAAAGTTTTGAATTTGCTTAAAGACAGATGTGCTTCTTAAAGGATTACCATCACCCAGAAGCATGCATCATGTCAATAATTCGTCCTTGAAGTATTATTGCCTAATTTGTCTTATTATAGAATATATCTAAAAAATGTTAAGCTTAAGCGGCGTGTCAATGGAATACTCAAGCAAAAATGTATCAAGGAAAGTGTGAAGACTTTGTGTTATATCTATTTTGCTTATATCTAAGAAAAACTAGCGTTGATATATGTGTTTGGACACTATAATACATCATTTGGATGATATAGTATTGTGACATTGTTTAGATTGATATGAGAAATTGTTATCATCCAGTACATTGAAGGAAAATGATGAGTGAAATCCTGCATTTAAGACCAAAGATGGACTATATAACTGATAGGTGATGCTTCTGGATTAATTAATGAATTTAGAAATTTCATGTGGATGATAATCATGTTTTGTGATCTTCTATAATTCTGTTGAAAATTTTTTTGTTATTTATTTCAATGATATTTTTATATATGACGATAGATGATACAATCATTTGGTGCATCTTGCGGGTATTTGATGTTTGGCAAGATTAGCATTATATTTAAATCTAAAAAATATTATTTCATGACTCCATTTGTGATTTATTAGGATTTAATGTATTTAGAGATGTATTTTCTATTGAACATGATAAAGTCAAATTGACTAATGTTTGATCAAAACCTGCTAATATATATGATATTCAAATTTAGATAAACTTTTATAGACGGTTCATTAAAATACTTAATATTATCATGGCTATAGTTACTAATGCCTGGAAAAAAAATAATTTAAATAGATTATATTTATTGACCTTGTTTTTAGAGAGATCAACGAAATACTTACAAATCACTTGTGCTTAAGTTACTCAAATTCAATAAGTTAATTTTTTTTCCTATATTAGACGGTTTTAGTACGAAACAAAGTCGCAACCCTCATGAGCAAGAGCTCCCCCCTCCCAAGTCAGGCTTCCCAGCACCGCCACCTGCTACTTCTGTTGTCGGCGCTGCCAATGCTGTCACCTGCAAGTTTCACTGACGATGCCGCTGCCCTACTTCTTTCGCTACAGCAGATGCTGCTTTTGCTACAGCAGCATCCACCTACTGATGAAATTGGACGCTTTCTGCTGCTACTGCTGCAACTGATCGCCTGTTGTTGCTGCTCTAGCCACCGTCACCTACTACAACTGTTGTTCCTGTTGTCATTGCCTGCTCCAATTACTGTCGTAGTTGCCTGCTCCAACTGTCGTCGTCACTGCCTTCTACTCCAACTACCGCTGCATGCTCAAGCTATTGTCGCTGCCACCTGCTGCTCGGCTTGCTCCTACGGTCACCTGAGGTTATTGTGTTGGTTGGATAATATAGTGAGAGAAATATATTATTTTAAACTCATCCTATATCTTACTTTGATATTTTATGTTACTTTCATTTCATATTTTTTTTTGTTGATTTGACGAAGTAATCATTTGAGGTTTATATTATATTTTTACTGTTATTTTATATAAATGTAATTTATTACTTTTTATCACGTTAGAATGTTAATATGACTTTTTTAATATATCTATTAGTTTTGATGCTAGTACATTATTTTTTATCCATTTATTTTCACTTGAGCAATTTTCCAACTTTGAGGCTTACACCTTGTCTCACGAACGAAAAATATCTCAATACCCAATTGTGCAATTTTAAATATTACTAGAAGGTATAGGATTAATGGGCTAAATCATATGGTCTTAGGGTAAACCCATTAATTAGTTAGCCTTGCCAACAATGGTTTGAACTATTGATCTCTTATATTTATAACTAAATTTTTATCTTTACCAGCAAATGTTTTATTTGCATATGCTTAAATTATGATGTATATGTTTATATGTGTATACCTATTGGGTTAGCTTGAAAATTTTTCGTTAAACTATAATAAATTTAAAATTGAATCAAAGTGATTTTTAAGCTCTAGGGTTAGAAGTTAAATAAGTATGCAAACTTACTACAATAACAGAAACAAGACCTAGAAAGTATATCAGCTTAGAAGTTAGAAATTATAAGTATTTTGGAGTGTTTATATAGGAACATAAGGAAAAGCGAAGACTAGTACATTTTTATCACAAACAATTACTATAGAGAAGAATTATGCATGGGAAGATTGAAGAGTAACGGAAAAAAAAATCACGACTCTTACTAAAAAGGCATGCTTTATGAGATATGAGGATAGATTCATTGACCTTTAAGCATAATATTTATGTGAAAATAACATGAAGAAATTAATAAAGATACAGGTCATGGAGCCGTGAATAACATTAGTAACTGTTTGGGTGATTGAAGAGCTTCATATCACACTAGTATTATATCAAGGAGATCAAGGATAATAATCAAACCCATATTTTCTTCTTACTAAATGTAGAGATGCTCACAAAAGAATTCAAAGATAAGCTGCGGTGCGTGTTATTTGCAAATGACATAGTTATGATAGTTGCAAGAACTATGAAATAGGTGAAAAGTTACAATAATGGAGAAAGATTTTAGAATATAAATGAATTTAAGACATATATAACACGGACCAATAATATCATGCACAATGTTATGCAACTCATTACGGCATTCAGTTTCATTAGTTTTGAAAGTAGATTATACATACATACATATATACAGATAGACAGACAGACACACACACACACACATATATTATATGTGTGTGTGTGTGTGTGTGTGTGTGGTGGTGGGCTTGCGCGCCGCGTTCCTCGACTTGTTGTTGCAATGCCAGTTGTAAGTCCCCTAAGGTCGGGGGTACGAATTCACCTTTGGCGACTGATGCCATAAGAAGGTCGATACTTGAATAGCTAGGCACATTAAGAGTGGTTGGGGGCTCTTCTAATAGCCTATGCCCATTCCTTATATAAATATATATATGAGGCCACCGTGACTCATTAGTTGGCAGCATTTGAAAGTCCACGGGGGTCATAGGTTCGAGCCTTGCCTCGAATTAGTCACATGAGGTTAATTGGGGGGTTCGCTCTTTGGCCAATCTTTTTAAATCAATATCTATGTACAATTACATACATACATACATACATCTATATATATGTATATACATATATATAGATGTATGTATGTATGTACATACATACATACATATATTGATTTAAAAAGATTGGCCAAAGAGCGAACCCCCCAATTAACTATATATGTATATACATATATATATACATATGTATATGTATATGTATAAATATATATATACATATCTATATACATATGTATATATATATACATACATCTATATATATATACATACATCTATATATATATACATACATCTATATATATATATAGATGTATGTATATATATATATAGATGTATGTATATATATATATATAGATGTATGTATATATTATATATATATATATATATACATACATATATGTATGTATGTAATTGTATATAGATATTGATATTAAAAAGACTGGCCAGAGAGCGGAACCCCCAATTAAGCTCACACACACACACACACACACACACACACACACACACATATATATATATTAAAGGAAATCGGTATTTGACAGAGGCCCAAATACGGCTTTCCCATGCGCTAGGCCTCATGATGATATCCCGCACCATGTGCCTAAATATTCGAGAACCCAACGCCACAAAGGATCAAACCCATGACCTGAGGGGACTTACAGTGAATCCCGCCAACCACTAAAGTCTAACCGAGGGGCGAACCCCTCTTCCAGACAGGTGTGCAATTCAATCCTACGCTGGGATCGAACCCCTGATCAGAGAGATTTACACCAAGGCCGCACCAATGAGTTAGGCGAAGGCACACGCACACACACACACACACACACGCACAATAGTCGCGTTTAATGTGACAAAACCATCTTAGACGACTCTCTAATATTGTTCGTCACTGGAGCTACACCAACCCTATCATGGATATATTCATTTCACATTTTGTCTCTAAATGTCAAGCCACTCATCCACCTAAGCATTCTCATCTTAGCAACACTTAACTTTGTTTTGCGCTTTTCTTTTAAAGGTCAACATTCTGCGCCATAGAACATTACAGGTTTTACCACCATCTTATAAAATTTTCCTTTCATTTTAAGCGGTACTTTTCTATCACACAATAAGCCTAAAACATTTCTCCACTTCAACCAACTAACTTGAATTCTACCAATAAAATCCTCATCCATATCACCATCACTCTAAGCAATAGACCCGAGATATCTAAAACTTTTACACCTTTTAATGATTTGATCACCCATAGTTACAACTCTACTATTAGACTACTAAAATTAGATTCCATGTATTCAGTTTTAGTTCTACTCAAACAAAGATTTCCCTGAGCTCTTTCTTTAGTCTTATCCAGAAGAAGGATATCATCAACGAAAAGCATACACCAAGGTACATCCTCCTGTAAATGTCCAGTAAGCGCATCCATAAGCATCCATAACTAAAGCAAACTAAAGCAAAAAGATATGGGCTTAAAGTCGATCCCTGATGTAATCCATTTGAAATAGGACAATACTTGATCTATTCTCCTTCTGTTCGAACACAAGTAACAACTCTAGTACACATATCTTTAATGACTTATATATAAGTCATATCAACATTTTTTTCCCCTAGAACTCTCCAAAGGAATTTTCTTGGAACCTTATCGTAAGCTTTTCCTAAATCAATAAAAAATCATATGCATATCCTACTTAGTCTCTCTATACTTCTCCATTAAACCTCTCAATAAATGAATAGCTTCCATAGTAGATGTGCCCGACATGAATCCAAACTATTATGAGAAATCTTTGTATCGCATCTTAACCTATGTTCAATTACTCTCTCCCATAATTTTAATGTATGACACATCAACATAATTCATCTATAATTAGCACACTCTTGTGCATCCGCTTTATTCTTAAAAATGAAAACCAAAATACTATTCCTCTACTCCTCAAACATCTTTTTAGTTTTTAAAATAATATTAAAGAGTTTAGCAAGCCAATAAACTCCCAAATCTCCTAAATATTTCCACACTTCAATGAGGATATCATTAGGTCCTACTGATTTTCCACCCTTGGTTCTTTTTAAAATCTCCTCAACTTCTTTTCTACTAATGTGATGATAAAAATAAAATATTTTATTATTATTAACGATATTAAGATCATTAAAGTTGAACGTATTTTCAGAAACTTAATTGAAAAGTTTATCAGAATAGCTAAATCACCAATATTAAATATTTTCTTACAAGAATAGCATTTTATTTTTTCATCATTTATACACTTAAATCTTTACTTTTTTTTTCTCTTAGTTTGACTAATTTATATATATATATATATATATATTCCACCTTCTTTAGTATCTAATATATTATACAAATCACTAAAAATAAAATTTTTAGCGTCACAAATTGTTTTCTTAGACTTCCTGTGGGTCATCTTATATTTTTCTCAATTCTCTAAGTTTTTACATTTAAAATAATTTTTAAAACACAACTTCTTATAGTTTATCTTTTCTTGCACACTGATATTCCACTACCAACTATTTTTATTTATAGAAAATTTTCTTTTGATTCTCCAAGTAGATCTTTTAACACTTATTTAATAGTATTTATTATTTTATCCAACTTAGAATTTGCTTCTTTACGAACATCCCAAATCTTGAAATCTTGAAGTTTACTCATAAAAATAATTTTATTTAAAGTCGTCTGTGTTATTATAAAATAAAAAAAATATAATCAGATATAAATTTAAAGTTTATAAAACTACAACTAAATCAAGAGAACTAAATGGTCCCAAGATTTGAACCAAAATGAAGTCATTATCAACAAAATTAATTGCACAATAATTAATAAGAATTGAGCCCATAATAGTTGATAAGATGAATGTGTGCCAAATTGTGAAGGATACAATGTGAAATGAATTTAATAAAAAATTTGATAGGAGTAAACAAATATTTCACTTGAGTAGTTTGGGCATCTACAATGGATGGTAAAAGATGCACCAATCCGAAAAAGTATATAGAATCGATGAGAAATAACCATGCTAATGAAGAAAATGAACACATGGGTTCAAGAGATCTAAAAAGGAAGGAAGTAAAATTGCTTCCTTTTGACATGCCTCTATTTTTCAACAGAAACTTGCTTACATTACCTCACAATTTCTCTTAAGAAAGAAACTCTAACAATTAGAAAAAAAGCACTATGTTTTTGCACTCAATTGAATTGTTTCTCTTCTATTTAAGAAGTTTACTTGTTTATTCCAGAATAATAATTGCAGCTTAGTTCATTGACAGCGAAACATGACCTAATGATAATAGTTTTTCAATATCCAGAATGATTCTAAAAGCATTAAGAAAACAAAAATGGTAAAGAATATTTCAGTGCTTATCCTAATTTTCCAAAACTATGCTCTACCAACTTTTAGAAAGATGCAAGGATGAGCAACTTATCAATTGTAAAAAAAAGAAAGATTTACAAACATACCACTCAATTATTATGTATTCACATCACATATCTAACACCTAACATATCTAACACCTAAAATTCAATTTTTACATATATGTCGCCTTACCTATACATGCAAAGGTGAATTTCCCCTTTTCAAAAATTAAAATAGTAGTACTTTTGATGTGATATGAAAGATTTGAGTACTATAAAGGTTAAAAACAAATTTTAGGTGTCAGATATGTAAATATATAAGAATTTGGTTTTATGTATGTACATGCACACCAACTACTTCTGGAATCAACAAGTAAAGTATAACTTAAATAATTAACTTATTTATCAATTATTAAGAAAAATTGAAATCGACCATCGCAACATAGTCATGTAATTTGTTAGAGAACCTCTTGCCCTTCCTCAATCTCAAAAGGTATAACGGCCCCAATAAAAAAATTACAGACTAGCGTCGAAGAACTCCACAGAAAACAGTCATTTCATTTCAAGGAACGGTCATTTTGTGGAATCTATAGAAAAACAAAGAGCAGCCCCGCTAAGAAACAATAAATTTTGTTGATTAAAATCCAAGAGTTCTGTTTGTGCAAAGTCATGTAAATTCTTCAAATGATTAACATCTTAAAAAGCAACTAAGAGAATGATCAAATGAACGTATGTCTAAATGTTACACTTGACTAGGAGAAATCTATCCTATGACATAATCAATCTTTACAAGAAATGCAACTATAAAATATAAAAAACTAGAAGTATGAAACACGAAAAAAAAAAAAGAAATAATTGGTAACATTTGGCATGTTCATCATGCTTAACAAAAACTCTTCTAGCAAGTTCAGCTGCACTTAATTGGTAACATTCTTGAAAAAAAAAAGGAAGAAGACAACATCTTCAGATCAATTACTTCATCATTTCCACCATTTCAATGTATTGGTAGACACACATAATTTACTCAACTTATATGCAGACATCTTAACACCGGATGGTACCTTATGATTATCCAACAATTTGAAAGATCATAATGGACAAATGAGCATAAAAAATGTATAATTAAAGTTAATATCAACAGATTAAGATGCCATTGAGAAAAAAAGGGAAAAAATAGCCATGGAAATGCTTTTGAGCCAATTTGTGAATATGAAGGGCATCATCACAATAAATATAGCATTTTGCTAAAACTTGATGTTGTAAAATTTAAAACAGCACCATATGATACGCATTTGCGAAGAAAAATTGAAAAAAAGAAAACAAGAGGGTGTGGAAGATAGAATTGTGACATATAACTTACAAGACAGAGCAAAAAACATGCCATTTTTCATCATGGAAAAGAAACAAAAAAAAAAAAGATATGTTATGTTAAAAAAACTACTATTTTTTTTAGACAAGAAGACCTACATAATGCAATTGCCATCAAATTTTGCACACCAAATAGCTCTATCATAAAGTTAGCATTTTTTTTAGCAAAAACAAATAACTAAAGCAACCAAATATATGCAAAATTCAGTTGAACTAATATATATAAAAAAAACCAAGAAATCAAATAGAGGAAAACCTTCAATTACTTTAAGTTCACATTCATCAAGCATAATCTATAAAACATGAACTAGCCAACCACTTACTTGACCACAACCAGCAAATAGTTCAGCAAGCCGCTCTTCTGTCACCTGATCAGTGCAACATAATCAACAATGCCGGTAAAAAAAGAACAAGCAAAAGTCTTTAATCAATTAACACATAAAAAAGAAAGAAAAACAAAAAAAACAAAAGGTAGATATTCATCTTTCAGATTACTCACATTGAGATCTATATCAGAAACATAGACTGTTCGCCTGATGCTTTCATCCCTCTCAGCTCTTCTCACCCTTTCATTCATCCTCCTCCCTTGGCTATATACATTCCTCCTCTGCATAAAATCCAAAAAGTTTCATCAAACGAAGAGCAAAATTCTACATTGTAAAGCGAAATCATAGATTTCTGAAATAATGGCTTCTTCCAGATTAGGTTTTTTTATTTATTTAGGGTTTAGGGTTCTCTATCCTATAGATTTATGCAACATAAGATGCAAAAATCACAGCCGTACCCTCCGATTAAACGGCTGATTACTGGGAGATCCATCACTGCTAGAATCCTTACTACTATACCCATTGTTGCTATTATAGTAATCGATCGAAGCGATGAAGACCGGCGCATCGGCGGAGAGCCGGGCATCAGGTTTTGGGCGGGTGATCAAGTAAGACGAGGGGAAGAACTCCTTAGCCGATGGATTCAATTTCGAAAGAAGGTCTACCAGCTTCCTCACATCTCTCTGATACTCCATCTCCTGATTGGAAGGGGGGGCCTTGCGGTGGATGAACTGATCGTCTGCTCCGATCGAGCTCTCCGCAACCGCAGCCATGGCCGATTATACAACCCCGAGCACAGAAACCCCAACACTTCACCACTGAACCGAAGAAGCCATTTGATCACCACCGAAGCGTTTTATATCTCTACAAGCAGTTATTTCACCAAAATCTCTTTTTTATTTCTAATTTTTCTTTTTTTTTTGGAAGATTTACATATATGCCACTACATTTTTATGTATTTGCATATCTAATCCTCAAAATTCAATTTTTACATGCATGCCACCAAGTTTGTAAAAGTTAAAATGTGGTAGATAAAAGAAAAAAAAAAGGCAGCTTTTTTCTTTTATTCTAGAATTTCTTCTTTGGTCATAACTTGAATTTTCTTTGCATGTTTGGTAATGGAATAAGTCAGTGATCAAATCTTATTTTTTCTTTTTCTTTATTTGATGGATGACACCTTTGATTAGTTAAGTTACTATTGGTAAAAGTTGTGATTTTGATTAGTATATAAATTTAATATTAAAGTAATCTCATCTATAAGATATTAAGGAAATATTTTTATGATAATTTGACCGTCTTAAATTTAGACCTTCCTTGTTATTTACTATTTTAATATTGCTACATGTTCCCTTGTTAGAGAGACGAGAGATAAAAGATTGCATGAATGGGGTCTTCTTGATTCTCTTGTGAGCCTTTTTATTTTTATCAAAACTTTTCCCCCTTTTATACATGAAATGATATCCCTATTTGTACGGAATTGAGTGGGATATAATCATGTTACGTTTTTTTCCCTATTTTAATGAGGGCGTTATAGGATATTTTTGATATTTTACATGTGCGATGTATCTCGTTGACTTTGTGAGCTTTTGTTCTTCTGAATGTATCCATTCAGCCTTTGTATGAATGCATCTGGTCGGTTTCGTGAGCCTTTAGGCATTTTGTTTGTGGATCTTCCTTTATCATTCTCGTCTTCTCTAGACCGTTAGATCTCCATAGAATTAGTTTGCTATATGTTTGATATATATATATAAGAGTAAATCTTCACCTAATTAGAGGAGAGTTCCTCTAATAAATATGCTCTTAACATATTTCTAGAGAAACTAGTGAATTTATCGCATGAGTGAGGAAACTAGTAAAGGTTGATAGATTTGTATATTAAAAATTTAAAGATTAGTATGAAAGAAATTAAGATTAAATGAGTTATGTTTTAAGTTTTTATCATGCAAGTCATTTAGGATTTTGCAAACGTACCAGCCAATTCTCATGTATTATATCTAACATCTAAACTTTATCTTTTTTACATTTACACCGCCCTAATCATTCATATCACATCAAAAATAATAGCATTTGAAAGTTGAAAAAGGTGAAGTACACATTTCCATACAAAAGTAAGATGATATATATATATATAAATATATATATATAATAATAGAGATAGAGAGGATGGGGAGAGAGAAAGAGGAAGGGAGGAAAATTGAAGTTTAGATGTTATATATATAAACTATTCCCTTACAAATGCAAGCTATTATTAAATGACCAGAGCCTATTGAAGTATGAAAAGTGCATAGTTTTTTTAGTGTAATAGACTTATAGAAATTTTATTAAGGGCTTTTATAAAAATATAATTTTTAATACGATCAGCATAATAAATTTGATGCCAATTTAATGACGATCAATACTCAAATAATTTTATAAGATAAGGAATTAGTTTGTATCAACTCCATCATTGACCATATCATTTGATGTTGAATAATTTCAAATATTTATAAGGCACTAGGACATTGAGGTGTATTTTGATACAACATGATAAATTGGCATATATATATATATAAATTTTAAAATATGTATGGAATAAATTTTTTATGTCGCTTCAACCATATATATATATGCATATATATATATGGTTGAAGCGACATAAAAAATTTATTCCATACATATTTTAAAATTAGCAGCAATTGCATTTATACTTGTGTGCCAAAAAATGCATGGCGTTAGATTGATTAGTTAACTTATTAGTGTTGCATGAATATCCATCACACACACAGACAAAATGATCAGGCACTAAGAAAAAAGCTTGTAAATGAAAAAAAAAAATTACGAGACTAGCTTAGTCGAAGTAATCCACTGTGTTTATAAATAAAGGGAGTGTCCTTCTCTCACAACAGAGAGAAAGCGATTACAATCTTAAACAAAAAATTACACTTATTGTAATGCAACATGAAAAAAATAAAAATGTTATAAACAACAGTCATATTTTGAGTACAATGGTTGCAGGCAGTGGCCGACGACGACAGAAGATGAAGATCAATAGTGTCTGACAAAGATCGATGCTTATTCGTCGGATCTTCTTTACTAAACATTCTGTGAATTTTCTCTTCTTCTCCCCCTCTGCCCCCCTCTCAAGAGAGGAGAGATGCCTATTTATAGCTATTTAGAGAGGGGCATTTTTGTTCTTTGGCATGTAACTTTCATAATCACTTGATCAGACGGTTCATGTTGATCCATCTTGATCATAAATGAATTTCTAAGAATTTGTGTACATCAATGACCTCAAAATCTATTAATTTTAGGCTCGTTGGATTCCTCTCATCAAAACACTCGATTTGACTATAAGTATATCAAATTCATATTTTATTCAACCATTCAATTAACGATCCAAGACATCCACTCGTGCTTCAAGGGCTTGATATGGGCCTGATTGGACTCACATTAAATCAATTTTGTTATCATTCAATCCATCTCATTGAGACAATCAGGTCTACTGTAAACTCATTAAATTCAAGGCCCGACAAACCTTAAAACTAAATTTGACATATTCATTGGTTAAAAAATGTAGGGATATTCATGCCACAAGATAAAAATTTCTTGATAGGCACATCAAATACTTAAAATTTGAAGCCATTATCTATATTTTGTAAAAATATGAGATATATAATAATCATAAGTTATATGGCTCAAGAATTTGATGTTAAATATACACCCACTCCTTTAACCAATTAGTGATAATAAGCCTTTCTAATGCATAATTAATGATGATTAGTCAAAAAGGATTTAGATTATGCTTTAGTGAGACATCAAGAGTTTGAATTAGTTGGCACATGTTTGGTGATGTGATGAGCCCTAGTTATGGTACGATGATTGTCATGTCCCACTTGGATTTCGAGGCATATTTCAACGGCTACATTGCACATTTCAAAGATACGGATTGAAGATTATTTATTAAATAATAATAATTATTATTTAATTCAGTTCATTTCAGACATGAGGAATGGATCTTACGAAGGCTTGGGTTAAGTACCGATGTATTTGCATTTTGGTACAATTATTTTGGCATATTTCTTGTTAAAGGCATCTCGCTTATAAAACTATTATTATTCATACAATTATAGTTATTTCTATTATTATTTTATCCTTTATTTTTTTATCTAATTTATATAAAATAAAAATAGAAAAAAAATGTTTTTATAAATGGGCCATACCACCTATACCTACGCATTTACATTTATAACAGCTATACTTTACTTTTTATAGTTATGCCCCTGAAATCTTTCAAATTAGACTAAAAACGCCACCTTTTAACTTTCAAAAGATGAAATGCACATTCTAATGCATATATAAGATGACATATATGTAAAATTTAAAGTTTAGGTGTTAGATATGTAAATACATAGAATATGTTTTTTATAAAATAAGCTGTGTGAGATTTAAATTATAATGTTTGTGAAAAAAAAAATTATACTTAAATTTATTTCAACAAATAATTATAATTGATGTCTATTTTTAATATCATGTGTCAAGATCAAATCATTGAGAAATTTATAAACTAAAAAAAAAATTATAAGTTCAAATTTTAAGGAGAAAGTTGGTTTTATATATAGCAAAATATTGAAATATTAGGCATGTAAATGTCCTTAATATAAAATGAGGTGCACTTGAAACTACTAGAAGAATTTAGGCATAAAGAACTCTTAAAACATTGGTGTTGAGTTTGATTAAACACAAAATCAAAATAAAATTAAGGCGAGTTTAAAAGGCACCATAAAGATCATTTTTAATGTATTTTACATTGACTAATTCTCTAATACGCCAAGCATCTTCCCAACTCGCTACAACAAGCCGCCATTATCACAACCTGTCGTCGCCTGTTGCTGCCATCAATTAAAGTTGTTGCTATGATTGCCACAACGAGCCAAAATCGTTGGTCATTACTATCGCTACAATTTTCCTTCACCACTATCTGCCACCACTGCCCGACTACCACCATCTTTTATGACCATCAATATTAATCACTGACCATCATTATCAACAAACTTTGTGACCGCCATTGCTGACCTCTACTACCAATCACCACCAACCCGCCATTGTTATTGTCACTGGTCCCATCACATAATCATTGAGAAATGCTGCTAGGCTTTGCATTGAATTAATATTAATTTATACAAAATACTAAAAAATTAATCTCCTTAAAATATTTAAAATACACATAGTATTCGTTTGACCCTTCATTCCTTCATCAAACTAAATCACTTGGAGAAAATGCCAATTCAAACTTATGATTTATTTGATAACGTTTTCTTCCTTCTTAAATCATAAAATTGCTAATATAAAAAAAAAAATATATATATATTATTTATTTCATACCTAACATTGCTCTTGCTTAATTAAATGCTAAAGAACTAACAATGATATGATTAATACAAATAGGTAAAAACAAAGTCTTCTCTCTCGAAAATATTGTCTAATCAACCAGACATAAAGATAGGGTTGTCAAAACGACTCGTTCGCGAGCAGCTCGTGTTCGGCTCGTTTGCTTAGAAACGAACACGAACTGTGACAGCTCGTGTTCGACTCGTTTTAGCTCGAAATACTACTAATCAATTATATATATATATGATGAGTAGTATTTAAAAAAAAAAATTAATTAACTACAAGGCTACAAAGATTTATAATCAATTAAAAGTATTAATGAAGAAAATAGAATAAAAATTATTAAATTAGATTCAAATAATATTTTAAATCTTGCCCCAAATCTAAACATCTTATGGCTAAGTGATTAGGGTTGTCAAAATGACTCTTTGTTCGTGAACGGTTCGTGTTCGGCCTGTTTCGCAAATGAGCCATGAGCCAAACA